AATGAACAGATACATACCTTCATCCTCCTTTTCATATGGGAATTCATGCTAGGCATTAATGAGTTAAGGACAAAGGCACATGTGATAATAAAACAAAAACACGCATAAAAAAACGTTGTTAAATTTAACAGGAGGGTTCAGAACAAATTGCCTTAAGGGATTGTTTTCTGAGTCAAGTGAGGCCCTCTTACTGTAGACATCAGGAAACTATACATTCTACCCTTTGATAGCCTGCCCTTCACTAAATATGTCTTAAATACACAGTATGACCCCAAAGATACTTCCTTTTATGCTCTGAAGCAACAGTGACCCCCCTCTCCTCAACAAACACTCTATAAAAATGAGCCCTTTTGAAGCTGAACATTTTGTGAATAATAATGTAGCAGTTAATTGTTTGCTTAAAACATGATTAATGAACTAGAGGAAAAAAGTAAAAATTTCACAGCAGTGGGATATTGTTTAACTCAAAAGCTGTTATGTGTATGCCCTTGAAAGCAATCGAATGGCAGGTCACTGAAGAACCTTCAAAGAAGGCATTGCTTTAACATTCCCATCAACCCTTACCAAAAAAGAGACAGAGGGGAGCCATCCACTGGGCTGGCTGCCAGTATCCTTCATTGAATTCATTAAGTGAAACTGGTACTTTAACAACAGAACATTTTATGCAAATATTCAGGGCTGTCTTTGCTTGTTTCTCTTTTTAGACTAACCACTGCCAACAGCTGCTGCAAAACATCTGCTCAAATCCACTTCTCTTCAAAGCCCTGCTATCTCTACCAGCTGGCTCAGCTCCAATCTTAACAAGTTTATGGAGACTAATGAATTTTCCTTAGTTTTAGTGCTTAAGTCACTTTTGAACTTTTAAACCAAAGGGTGTGATCAGAATAGTTTTCACCAAGTAGGAGTGTTGGGGAAGCTTTGCATTCAACGAAGCCTTCCCTGCTTCCTTTACAAAAATAAGCCAACATATCACATGGGCACATTCTGGGACTTTCTTAATACCAAGTGTTTCCTCTTTACAGTGTGTCTCTCTAAAGCAACATGTTTTTTATGTTATTATGAAACAAGAATATTCAAGATATAGGCCCTTTTTTTCCACTCTGTCTAAAATGTAATGAGTATAGATGGTGTGAATTTTCCTAAATCTTTTTTTAAGTTCTTCGAAGAGTGATACAACTTGGCTGAGTAACATGATGGCACAGTGGTACTTGGTCCTGGGATTCATTCCAGCCTCAAGAGTCTATCTGCATAGAATATGGATGGGCTTTTGCTGGGTGTTTCAGTTTCCTCCCAGCTCACGAAGACATGCTGGTTTAGTTGATCTGCTGCTTTAAACGATTGCCCCTGAGTTTACCCTTAGAAAAAGCACAGGCAGTTGGTCTTTGTGCCTTCAAACAATGATGTCTCTATCTCCCCTACAACACGTTTACAGGGCATAAGGCTACAAATGACGTGTAGGATATCTACACATAGAAAGAATCAGTATTATTATTTTATTCTAAGTTCACATTAGAAAGCTGAGTTCTTAATGCAGTATTGTTTAAAAGAGCTATCTGTACACTTTTAGATGCTGTCACAGTCTGTCAATGTTTGTTGTGTACAATTTTATTGTAATTGTATTATGGAGTTATTTAAAAGTAGATCGTACAGTATGAAGCGTAGCATTCCACATGCTGTTCTTCAGCCTCAGGGTGAACTATACAACAGGTGCTAACAATTTATAGCCTGGCAAAACAGGAGCACTGATCTATTAAAGTCACATGCACCTGCTGTCAAGCCAATTATTCAGATCCAGGTTGAAAACCAGGCATAAGCATGAACTCAGGGACTGTGAATAGATCAGTAAGCACTAACAATATCCTAGGAAGAGTTTTTGAAATTACCCTTTCATCTGACTAACAGATGTTCTTTTCTATATGACTTTTTTAAGTGTGCCCCGGCTTGCTGTGTTGGTAGAGTATGGGACTCATAATCTCAGGGTAGTGGGTTTGTGTCCCACATCGGGCGCCATGTCCTCCATGTTGGAGGTTGGGCACATGGCAAAACTAATGTAACAGTAACAGCAACAGGATGTTGCTGCCCCTACATGCCGGAAGGCATAATGAGTAAACATTCATCAACTTTTTTAAGTGTTTGTGAAACAAAATACTCAGAAGGAAACCCTGTTCCACATTTGAAGTGTTTAATCTGCTATGGTTGAGTGTAGGGAAGCAAAAATCCATCTGGACTCTACTTTGCATTGAAGTAGATGTAAAAAAAAATCAGAAGACCCCATTCAGATCTGAAATTAATTTTAATTATGAGAAAAATATTTTAGATCATTTACTTGAATTTTATTGCTACTACAAATGCGCCTTAACCATTCTTTATATTTTAGTTAATTTTATTTGACCTTTTTGTTGTCTATTACAGTGGACATAGGGACTGAACGACTGTAAAACCTAGATAATGATGTGCAATGTGTGTGTGTATTGTTCCGATTAAAATGTTTAAAAACAAGTTAGAAAACATTTAACATACCATTGTAAATTAATTTGTTTTAAACAAATAAAAATTTATATCATAAATTGATCACAACCACAACCATCACGTGTTTTGCAAGTGCACTTTGGAAGCTCTTGTAGCTTCCTTCCTTGTCTTGATTTGGCATGTGATCCACCATGTCTATCTTGACCTCTGGTAAGGGTCTTCTCTCGGCTGTCCTAATTTTTAAGGCTCAATAAGCGGACCACCACCAACCACTAGATTGTGACAATTTGTCCACCCCAGCTGGAAGCAGGGAGTAGTGATGGGGCTGAATGGATAAAGGTGTCACTAGATTTTGTCTTTGCTGGCAAAGTAAGACCTCATTATCCTCAGTTAGTTCCTCTCTCCCTGTCTCTTCCTGGCACTGTACAATCTCCATCTCCATCTGGAAATTTCAATCCTATGTGTTCAGTAACTATACACAGTGTATACTGTATATCTCTCTCACTTTTTTATACTGTATTGCATACTTTATTTAACATCTTTCCCTGTAGGGTTTATAAATGAGAAAAATAATTAACTTTACATTGATAATAAAAATATAATATTCATTTCACATTATTAATATTTTACTTTGACTGTCTCTACAACTCTGCACTTACCAACTAACTGCCTCAAATCTAGTAGTATCTTCAGTCTCATCACCACTATTCAAATATTCAACTCTAAAAGACTCCCAACAGCCAGACATTCCAGGTCATGTAAAGCAGTGATCTCTATTTGTGAAATTCATTTTTTTACATTTTAACTTTTCATAATTAATTGAAATTGGTTACATGTTTTAGGAATGTTAACAGATTAGAATTAGAAGGCAGTGATGCAATGAGCTGTGAGATGAAAAAAATACTCTAACATATGATGTCCATTATATTGGATGCCATGTTTAAAAGGGTTTTACTTAGTTTGAATCTGAATCATAATGTTAATCTAGGTTACTAATGGTTTTACAATAATGACACATTCAAGCCAGTTAAAATGTACACCTATATAGGAACTTTCTTGTTGAATGTGGCTCCACCACTTAATACAATAACAGGAGCATCAGAATATTCTGATAAAGACTGGAGCTGGAGAACTTTATCCTGTCCATCTTTTCTATTGGTAGAGTTTGAAATTAAGGGCAGCAGAGAAACAATGTTTTCTCCATAGCCTCAAATTCTTGGGAACTATGAAACGGTCTTACTAGTCTTCATTTTGATTCCCACATAGATAGAACTGATTTTCTGTAATGCTTTATATTTGTCTTGATGTGTTGTATGTATGAAATGTAAAATTTTATGTCGTCAAAACAAAAACAAACTCGACAAAGATTGTACAAAAAGTTGTCAAAACAATTAAATACATTTTTGTATTCCAGTAGTCCAAACAGACTTACATGCTTGTTTTTCATCGAAGCAGTCACATCCAAATGGAGATTCTAGATCTGCAATGTGATGATTTGACGTCAATGAGTTGGCATTTAACAGTGAAGGAGCTGAATATCACATTTCCTTTTCCTTGCATATCCTTTTAAAGACCTTTGGTAGCTCCCAAAGGTATCTTGCATTATCTGTTTAAACTTAAGTACTTCCTCAAACCTTGCTGACCTAAGTGTGCTACTCTTTTTGAAGTGTGGCTAGCCATCATTAAATCAAGTGTTGTGGAATGCTGGCAATGGACATCGCCTAGAAGGCTGTAGCATATGTGCTCTTCAGCTTCCAGCTACAGTAGAATGGAGATGTTGGTGTTAGTGTTCCTTTTCTGGAGTTTATTTGTCAGTGCATCAGGAAGCAAAGCAGCCTTAACCTTATGAAGAAGATGTTCCTTTTTTCCTGCCAGATTCCACCATTTAGTTGGTCTATATGGTCTCTGAAACTGAATTAGCTAGCAGAACTGACTACCTACTTCTCATACATTTTGACATGTTCCAACCGATGTACATGATGAATTAAGAATAAAAGGCTAATTTGTTTTTAGATTTTTAAAGCTACAAAAAAAGAAGTAGTAGTGATGTTTTCATTGCAATCCATTTTCCAAATAACCTTTTCATTCCTATCAGTTTTCTTGAATAGTATGCGTGGGCTATTCAAGAATGATGTTGTTGAAATTCCTGTTAATTTACGTTTGTCTTTTAAATCAAATGGTACAGTACATCCTAAAAGGCAAAAAAAAAAAACCTTGTGATTTGATTTAGGTGCGCCTTGATTGTGTATGTCTATTCAAAAGATTTGCCCTTTGGAGCTTTGCACACTTAATCACCAAGCTTGGTATAAGTTACAACAAAAATTATATTTAGCAGTGGACCATTGCTTGCATATACTGTATGAATGCTTTGTCTTTGTCATTTTAGTGCTTTTCTAATAATTCTGTATTAATGAAAACATCATATTCTCAGAGTGTTGCTGTTTTAACGGATAATCAAATGTTTTGAATGCACATCTGAACCCTGGGTGTACTTTTCAGAAGAGAATACACTTTTCTTTGCTATTTTTCAGTTTCTCACTGTGAGGATGCCCTGCGTGCCAGGAGGGTGATGTCATAAAGAAAACACCTCACACCCTGGGAAAGAGACATGGGAATTGTGGGACTGTTGATATTCCTCCTGAAGGGGACAGAGCACCTCAAGCTGTTCCACATGCACCTGCTGCTCTCAGTGTTCCAGAACCTCCTTCCTGTGATTGCCGGGACTCATGGAGCTGCACGACTACAGCTTTCCCACACAGGTGAGTCACATTCTTAGACAAACACTGAGATCACCGACTGGAGTGATCTTTACATTCACTTCAGTGCAAAGTAGTCTGTCCTATGAATATTTTCAGACAGTGTGTCACAAATCTGTTTCATTTGTGTAAGACAGCCAGATTTTTTTTACATTTCATACTATGCAGTGAATAATTAAATTACATGTTGTCCTGAATGAACACAAAGTCTTGTGGTACACTTCACAAAGTAAATATACTATAGTAAATTTAGTCATTTGATTTTAGTTGTCTTGTGACCTCTAGAAATACTTGTGAGTTGCTCAGCTTAGGCATTATATTTATAAGCTGTCATGACTCATGATGCCAGAAACAAAGCTATTATTTTTCAAACAATTTATTTTTTTAATTATATTTCAAAATCTTCCCTCCTTTGTCTTTAAGTACCTAAAAGCATGTTGGTTCAAACTTAATTTAACATTTGTTGTCCTTGTGTTTTGCCAAAAGCAAGATATTTCTGGTGTCCACTGATACTGAACTTATTGTCATTGCTTTTGTTGCATAATATACATGAGAAATATGCTTTCACATTCAAATTCTTAAAAAGAAAGGGGGAATGGATGGAGTTGCTGTCTAGAGAAGTAACGTCTGGAGTCATTACATTACAGTGTTTCCCTGACTGTCGCTATGGCGTAGTAAACATTGTCAACATCCTATCTTCAAAACAGGTCAAACGAACATATTTGGTGTTGTTTTGCCTTACCTAGGCCTAAGGGAAATTTGGAAGGATTCGTCTGCCTTTCTGGATACACCCATATTAAAAATCAAATGACTGATATTGTTTCTCCTAGTAAAACAGAAAGAGAGGCTGATCCCTTCCCACACAGAGGATAAAAATAATTTTGTACTGTATATCTAAAATATTTATATGTATTAAAATGAGCTTTTTTTACACAGATCTGTGACTTAATGCCTAGTGCAACATAGAAGAGATACATGTAGATTTATATATGATAATTGTAATCACAGTTAGAAAGTTGAAAACTGGACATGTCACATATTTTTGGCCTCGGTAAGGTGAGGGTGTTCTTTTTAATTTGCAAAGACCTGTATTATATATTTCTGCTTAGCTTCATTTTCTCATACCAGTCCATTTATTGTCCTAGATGACACTAAGATTTGTTTGCAATGTGTAATAATGGAATTACACTCTAGTGAAATGATGGGTAACACCACAAAAAAACAAAAACACCTCTTAAAAGCTGCTTTAAGAGCACAACCCCAGAAGTGCCTGTTATTATCTTGATACCACATCAATCACAAGGGACTGACCATTAAATCAGTCAGGTTTCTGAGATCATAGAACAGCATGTAAAAAACTTGATCTCCCTTCAAATAACAGGCCATTTTCGCTTTGTTCAAGCAATGGGTACCATTATCATCAACCCATAAAACAGTAAAATGGAAATGTGCCTCTGCTCACTTTCTTTGAATTATGTCCTTAGTCATAAAAACCTCAAAAGACTTTTTGCCAGAAAAATAAAAATAAAAGACAAATGGAGAATGAAATGAATTAACTGTTACCAGACTCCTTTATGTTGCCTTTTAGGCTTTTTATCATCTGTTAAAACACCTTTTGGTTTTCTTGTATGTCCTTCTTTACTGTGTGACAGAATTGTGGGTCTGTAAATCCAGGAAAGCTGCCCAAAGTACTCAATATGAGTTTGACCCTTGCTGAACTGATGAAGTGGGGATTCTTGGGATTAGAAAGTTAACAGCATCTGTAGATGTCAAAGCTGGCTCCCATTCAGCTTTGCAGAAAGTTTTGATGCTGATTTTTGGGATGCAAAGAGGTCAGATTGCTTAGCTTGCTGTGATGCATTGCTGCTGTCATAATCACAGGGGAATTTAATTGACTTGTACAGTTCATAATTGAACTCAAGAAGATAATTGGTACTGATAGTTTTAATGCGTTCGTGATTGAGTCAGCTTCCTCTGTTTGTGCTTGTTTAACCTCAAAAGGCAGAAAGCTGCTGAAAGAGAAATATTAAACACTTGCAATACATGACTTTTCCAAAGTTACTGTACATGCAAAAAAAGCAATATTGAAAGAATCCTGAAATTAAAACAAACCAATACAAAGTGTGGCCCTGTATTGGTATTCATTCCTTAAAATGGGTTTATCATTTGAAGTCAACTTGTTTCACTTATTCATTTTGCCATGAGTAAATTTCAGCTGTAGACATAGATGTTGTGTTCAAATGACTGCAATTTCAAATTATGCTAATTACAGGGTTATTTGGATGGCTGAACCTTTAAACAACTTCTTCTCTTAGCTTTCTTAGCTCATTATTTTGTTTTGCTGAGGAATGGTGAAAATGTTTAAAGTTTTATTGTACATTTACCTTTTTTGTGTATGAGATGTTTTTTTATCCTGTTAGAATAAAACAGGATGTCCGCTTCTGTGTAATTTTGTTGTGAAGATGATTAATGCCTTTCAGTTTTGCTTACAAAATGTTAATCTAAGGAAAGGCAAGAATGAAGGAGTAGAAGTCAGCAACTTATTTAAAATATGTGAATCATGGCTTGACATTAAATATGAAAGGTGGAAACAGACAGAAGACCAAACAAGCTATCGCATGTGCTGTCAAGAGAGCTGACTTTTGCTTTCCTAAGGGTTGTGATTTTGGCTTTCCAAATGAATTCCGTATGATGCATGTTACAATCTAAGCATTGCAGTAGTCTTCAAAAGATTTAATTTCAAGAGTTCAACGTAATTTAACAGTTTTAAAAGACATCAAATATGAAAATATAAAAAATACTTCCAGTTGGTTTTAGTTCCACATGATACATGTTGCAATCTAAGTACTGCAGTTTTAAAAGACATCAAAAATGAAAACTTTAACAGAACATTACATGATTTCCAGTTGGGTTTATATTAAGTTATTATACCTATAAAAATGCTACTTTGTAATACCTGACTTAGATAATTGCAACTTAATTGGACTTATTGCGTGAATTTATTGCGTGATTAGGTTAAAAGTAATTCACAATAAATTATTTGATTATATTCTTTTACATTTCAGTTTGTCACTGTTTTTGTTTGCCTGATGTTTTTTAAATGCCCAGGAAACATTGTGCATGCCATGACTTTTGACCTGTGGAAGTGTGTTATCTGCTTTTCGAAACAAAGCTGTCATGTGATGAGCTGTTCACTCACTCATGTCTTTGTGGTAATGAGGTGCTGTGGATAAATGGAAGGGTTAAGGTTGATGCCCCCTGTTGGACTTCAGCATGGGCGAAGAGATCACTCTGAAATTGATTAAAAAGCAGAGCCCAAGTTTGGATTTCCCTGTGTGAGAGTGAAGGAAGTTTTTCATTTTAGCCGATGTCGGATGAAATCATGAAAGGTGATGTCCCTGCTGCCCAGATGCACCATCAGATTTTGCTTTACAGTTCAGCAAAAGCTCCCCAAATGGAAGCCAATTTCTAGATGTCAATGTTTGGCGGCACATGTCTGATTTATACCATATTTCCATGCAAATACAATTTGACTGTGGGTTAACCAAATCTAAATATTTTTCCCTCTCCTGAGTACTTAATGGTCTTTCATTTTTTGTGGGTGGTCACTTGTGCCTGTTTCCCACTGGAGTGGACATAAATAATTTTGGGTTGGAGTAGCTTCTGTCCTCCATGTTATTTCTTTTACAAAATGTTGACTTAACCTAAACTGACTTCCTGGCTGTTCACCCTCAGTTCCCCATCTGTCTGCCTGTTATTTTCCCCTTTCAGTGCAATCTAAATCCTTTCCCACTAAAGCTAGTTTCCACTAGTGGGTAAGAATAGCTTCAAGATTTAAACTGAGGTGTTCAACCGTTCTCAGTTCTGATGTTTTGATAGTTTTGGAACATATATTTTTGTTTTCCCTCACAGTGCAAAAGTTAGTCATCGTACTTTATACATAAAATGCATGCAAACAAATAGAAAGCCCTGCATAAAAAGTAGGAAAAAAAAGCTAACATTGCATTGGTTCATCTTCCAATAACACATTAAGTTACAACATGGCTTTGACTACATGGATCTGTTCACAGATGTCTTCAGTGATATAGATCCAATCAACAGGAGCCAATGGGTTCTCCAAGAGGTGACTCAGTGGCTTCTTGTGGCCTGAAGTGCTCTTTCTTTTAACATTTTATCTGCTTGTAAACCACTGACACTCTGTCATTTTTGCCAAGTCTGCTTTGCCATTGCAGAACACACTGATGACAATGCCTGATTTCCATCTACTTTATGGTCTGCACAAATCATGGGATATATGACATATTGGGCTATTCCTATTACTTCAGACAGGAGGGGGTCACACTTACGGCACATTGCATTCTCTAATATTTTGGTCATACAGCATTGACACTTTACAAATTTATGAGAAACAAGAAAAATGATTGCAATATATGGTTTTCAAAAGCACCATCTTAACAAGCTCTCTCAGACAATATGCACAGTTCATCTCGACCTAGGCGATCTAAGGATGTACTTGAGAAGGCAGCTCTTGTATCACACTGTCCTGTACTGCTCTGTGCATCACATTTATATATCTTCACTTCATCAGTGGCACTTGTGCAATTAAACACTGAGCCTTTGCCCTTCTTGAGTTTAAAAGCCACAGAACATACTTTTTACATAACACAAAACAGTACAGCGTAGAGGTCAACAAGATGAAACCAAGCAAAGAAATCTGTCGTCAGTCTTGCTTTTAAAGGCTTCAGCAGGGGTTACCTGATGATTAACTTGGTATATTTCCCAGAGTTTTTAATTAATTAACAATAATAACCACTTGCATTTACTGTGTGTAGCATGTTTCATCCCAAATGATCAAAAGTGCTTTACACATGAGAAGGAACCTGCTTCATCTACCTCTGGAGTGCAGCACCCACCTGAATGATGTACAGCAGCCATTCTGTATCACCAGTCCCGCTACACAGTAGATCAGGTGGAGGTGTGAGGAATTGCTTCAGCACTTGGAA